GTTGGCCTTCTGGGCTGCGAGCGCACATTGCCAGCTCATGTTTAGCTTTTCATCCACCAGTACCTCCAAGTCCTTCTCAGCAGGGCTGCTCTCAATCCCTTCATCCCCCAGCCTGTACTGATACTGGGGGTTGCCCTGACCCAGGTGCAGGACCCTGCACTTGGCCTTGTTGAACCTCATGAGGTTCACACGGGCCCACTTCTCCAGCTTGCCCAGGTCCCTCTGGATGGCATCCTGTCCCTCGGGTGTGTCAACCGCAACACTCAGCTTGGTGTCATCCATAAACTCGTTGAGGGTGCAGTTGATCCCACTGTCTATGTCATTGATGAAGATATTGAACGGTACTGGTCCCACTATGAACTCCTGAGGGACACCGCTTGTCACCGATCTCCATCTGGACATTGAGCCATTCACCACTACTCTCTGGATGCCACCATCCAACCAATTCCTCATCCAACAAACAGTCCACCCATCAAATCCATATCTCTCTAGTTTAGAGAGAAGGATGTTGTGGGGGACCATGTCCAAGGCCTTACAGAAGTCCAGGTAGATGACATCTGTAGCTCTTCCCTTGTCCACTGATGTAGTCACTCCATTGTAGAAGGCCACTACGTTGGTTCTGGCTTAAGAAGCCACACTACTTTTCCAGCAGATGTCAGGGTGGTCCCCCAGCAGCACGAGACCCATGTGCCTTAGTGTAGCTTCTAGGAGAGCTCATGTGCATACACCAAGATATTGCAGAATCATTTTCTCCTTCCACAGGGCTTTGTAACCAATAGATATCAGAAAGCCTATGATATCTATTCTGTTTGTTTTTTTTTAATCGTGCAGTTATTGAAATTTATGTTGGCACATGCTAATCCCCTAAGTACAGATTTCACAACCACTGAAGGACAGGAATATATAACAGCTGAGTGCTGATATTTATATTGTCATGTAACGAGACCAGCACTAATGAGGAGATAGAATGAGGAGGCACAGCAAACATACATATTCTGTAGAAACCCATATTGCAGAAACAGGAGGGCAAGTGAATAATGGCCTATGAAAATTGCACTGGAACCGAATTGCAGTATAGGAAAACAATATCTTGTGACTAATGTTCCTGCTTCTGTGCTGCTCTTTTGTCTGTGAACACGAATGAATCCTCACTCTTCTAGATTGGAAGTGATTATTTTGCCTTCTGTCTTGTGTAAAGCAGAACATGTAGTTTGGTTACACAGATGTTGTGTTCTGAGAATTACAGACCTAATTTAGATTTAATAGGATCATTATATATAATTTAGATAATTGATTTGTTAGAACATTAACTTTTTGCAATTAAACAGCTTCAACTAGCAAGCATGTATATTTTATTACGGCTAAAGTAAATGAAATTCTATTAGAGACAGTGTCAGACCAGTTTAGAATGTAACTTGATTATGCTACATTTTAAAAGAACGTAGTTAAGTATAGTTTAAATATAGTAGATATGGACTTAACATGGGCCAATTATTTTAATATTTTAAAATATTTATTAGTATAAAGTAACTATTTCTTCTGTTGTTCATTTTGTGTGGTTATAGATCATCAATTTAATATCTCAATTTTTAAGCATCTTATGGAAGAAAGAGGATAGACAGGAAAAGAACAGTTCTTGCATGATCAACTTTTGGAATTTCCTTCCATTTTTATTTTTTAATGGTTCGTTCTGGGAAAAAATAGTATATGGTAGTATTTATTAGTAAAAATTTTCCCTTCTTCTCTTATATGAGGATCACAGACTGAGTTTTTCTTCTGTTTTCTGCTCCTAAGGTTCCCCTCCTAAAGAAGCTCAAATATTGAATTGACTTTAGGAAAAACTGACTTTCTCTTCTTACTTATCAGGACCACAACGGGATGCACAAGTGGCACGAGAGTTCATCTTGAAGATGTTTGTAGACCTGAATCCAGACAGTGACAAAATTATCTACTCCCACTTCACATGTGCTACAGACACAGAGAATATACGCTTCGTCTTTGCTGCTGTCAAGGACACAATCCTACAGTTAAATCTGAAGGAGTACAACCTGGTCTAACTGTGCCTAGGAGGCCCTCCAAGACCACCTTTGCGTGATTGAAGATACACAAGAGGGACTGTCTTATCTGTGAAAACAAATTGCATAATAGTAATTTATTGCTGGCCTGGACTCTGTGAATGTCCACAGAGTTTTTAGTTAATATTATGATTTTATTTAAACTATATGGAGGAAAAACAAAAGATGCTGAAGTACATTCACAGTACATTTTCTTATTTTTTAGGTAAAAACTTGTGACTCGATGTGTTTTAAATTCTCACTTGTACACTCACAAAGGATATTAGTTTTTTGCTATTGAAGCAAAATCTAGCTGGTTTCCTTGTTCCTTGACCCTTTCTCTCTCCCTCCTTCCTCCCTCCCTTATGTTTTTAAAGGTACAATGACCATTTTCCCAATTGCATTCCTTGGTAAAATATTTTCTGTTGAGTGATTTGGTCAGCTATTGTTGGAACTGAAGCTATCAGTCTTTCAAATTTTACTGAATGTGCTTTCTCTGAAGGATCAAATGTATTGATAGTGTGATTTTTAAATTCTTGACATGAGTCTTTTCATCCTGTCTTCACTTTTGAGGCTAGAATATTGGAATTGCAAAATAGAAATAGTTGTGTATGGATTTAGAATTTAACCATACTTTCACAGTTCAGAAAGATGCATAGAAGACAGTAATGAAATAATTAAAGACACAAACCTAGGATGTTCATGGAACATCATAGAATCTCTTTTTAATTGCCATGTGACATTATTTTTTCTTTCCTTTATTCACAAATGCCAAACAGAAATGTCATGGACATTACATTTTCCCCAGTGGCTACAGCCTGAAACTGGTGGTTTGGTTTTTTTTCAGTTGTGTGTATTTTTTCATAATTTAAAGCTTTTTTAAAGTGTGTTTTTCCACAGTAGAAAAAACATTTTTGTTGTATAAAATCTTGCCAAATCTGGCTTTTTATAAAACCAATACTTTTGAAACATAAGATACCGATTGAAATGCCAAACTGATGGATTGGGAACTGACCTGATTGAGTCAACTGCCAAATGATAAACAAACATAGTTTAAGCTCATATGTTCCCTTTTTTAGAAAGTGTTCCATTTTTTAATGCCAAGAACAAGTGTGAGTGAGTATGATACTAGGTATACGTGTATAGAAGACAGTTCAACTGTCTCCTTATGTCAGAGATGGCATGAGGATGCATACAGTGTTTTCTGTAATAATATCAAAGCACATGAAGTACAGCATGCAATGATTGATGAGTGATCACATTCAGGAACCTTTCTTGATAAGGTTGCCTCTTAACCGATTCACAGACATTGATAGGCTTCATGCAAAATAGCCTCTCTTGATGTTCTTTAGAAAGATTCATTAATGTAAATGAACAGTGAGAAAATCACTTGAAATTTAAATGTGCAAATTTTAGCAACAAAAATGTAGCACACATCCATGAGCAGCTTAGGTTCAAAGGTGTTTTTTTGACCAGGTGCATGATTGCTAGCAAGCTACAGAGAACTCAGAAGTCAGACATAATTGGATTGATTATCTACAATGCCTAGTAGCACTAAGGTGCACTTAGCACAGAAATTGCTGCTTCTCTCAGCAGCAGAGGAGAGTTGGAAAAGATTGACTTATTAGTTGAGTAACAAAGTTAACAATAAATACTTATGAGATGTTTTCATCCTTAACCCTCCCAACTCCAAAACATCAATAATAAGAACAATTGCTATTTTTTGCTCCCTCATAAAACACCTTATAATTGAAAAATGATTGTAGGTATAGTGCAATTATGAATGCTGTAATCATTGTACATACATCTATATATATATGGCAGCATCCATATTGACTTTGTAATCATTAATTTTTGGCAAATTGAATGTGCTGTGTTGATATGTATCTATGTAATTGTATCATATGTCTTACAGCAAATTCACATTTTAAATAATGGTTTTTATTTACTTTTTTAAGAAAAGAATGTAAATTTTGTCTGTTTATTTCTGACTAGGGATTTGTTGTTTTTATTTAAAAAGCAAAAAAGCTTATTGTAGTACAGAGTGGTACTAGCATTGTGCTGTATAAAATCATTTGTACATTCCTGAGTAAAAGTAAATTGGAGACACACAGAGGACATTCACAATCAAAAAAATGCTTAAATCTTGTCAGGGCTTTATACAGATGCAGAAACCGTTTTTGTTGGAAGAATTTATGCCATTATATCTAGGATTGGAACGTAAACTCTTAAATATGAATTTGTATTTGGCAGATTCAACTTTGGTTAGTTTTACTTTTCTAATAGCCTTTATTAGAAAAGTGAATTTAGAGACATTTCAAACTATTGAACATATTAAGTACTAATGGGTATATGCTATTTCCCTAAAAATATCATTAAAAACTACAGAACATCAGATCAGTTAAACATTATTTCAGAAATTACAGAAACCTTAGATCTAACCACAACAAAGTTGCTAGTGTTAACAATTTTAAGGAGTTAGAGTTTTATTTAATAAAGCTAATCCAGGTAGTGTTAGGTTATAAAAAGTGACACTGACATTCTAAATACATGTTCAGAACAGTTATTCTTGTTATATATGTCATTATAAAATTGGTTCTGATCTTGCTTATAAACATAACAAATCCTCTGTTTCCACTGTTGACTCTGGAGTGCATGATAATATCCCTTCATTTAACTTGGGAATACATTGGCTATGTTGGATTTAGTTATGCCAGGGGAGGTTTAGATTGGATATTAGGAAAAATTTCTTCACAGAAAGGGTTGTCAAGCATTGGAACAGGCTGCCCAGGGAAGTGATGAAGTCACCATCCCTGGAGGTATTTAAAAGATGGGTAGATGTGGTGCTTAGGGACATGGTTTAGTGGTGGTGTTGGCAGTGTTAGGTTGATGGTTGGACTAGATGATCTTAAAGGTCCCTTCCAACCTAGAAAAATCTATGATAGAAATAGAACTGTAGCCAGGAAAAAAAAAAAGCCAGTGATGTCTAATGAAGGTTTGGGGTTTGGGTTTTTTTTTTTGTTTTGTTATGGGATATTGGGGGGAAAATTGAGTTTTAATTTTTGTATAAAAACAAAACAAAAGTTTATTCATGCTTTTTAGATATATTGTGATTGCAAAATTCAAGAGTGTGTGCCACTGGGCTACTTCTGGTATATTTTAAATGAGTTGAACCTGTGACAATGTTTAGATCATTTGAGCATATTCTGAAAAAAATATTCAGCATGCTAATGCAAGCCTTACATGAATCACCTAACACAGCATTGCAGTGTGACAGTGTTTACAAAAACATTTCCTTTTTAAATGACATAGCTGTTCCCAATATATTCCGTTGCTGTTTCTGTTTTAATTGATTTACACTATGCATTATAGTGCTTGAGTCCAGAAGTATGTGCCTCTAACATGAAGCTGAAGGCAAAAACAAGACAGAAACCCTTTTAACTTTGCAAAAATTATGTGATTTCATTGAATGTCATAAATGGGAGAGGAGAGAAGGAAAACATCTTGGGAACCTGTGTATTCTAGGTGTTCACTAGTACAAGAAAGCTGTAATATGTGTTTTACAGAAATCTTAAACTTGCTTTTTTTCACTAAGTAACTGGCACTGTCCTGACATATATAGGATGATGAAGCTATAAGGGCAGTTTACTTTTTATAATTCAGACTCTTGATTTTCAAGATGTATGAACTCTAATTTTTAATAATACTGCCATATCATTGTGAAACTTTTTAAAGTTTGAAAATGGAGAAGAGACTTTATGCTGGCTATCAGTCAGAACTGACTGCATGATTTGCAAAAACTTTAAAAGGGGATAAAAGGGCTGCATATGAAGACATTGCTAGACTCCGAGCTTTTGGTTGTCAGAGGCAAAAGAATTTCAGATTACTCAACCTCATGCCCCTTCCCTTGTTATGCATTCTTCACAAAATAATGAAATAATAGGAGAAAACAAAGGCATGTTAACCCACATGAAGAAAAAAAAAAAGCCCAAATAATTTATTTTATGTGCTGCTGTTCTTGGAGCTCTGTGCATGGTTATCCTGCATTACATTACTAAACTAATGACGTGTGCACAGTATATTAACAAGGCCTACAAATTACCTACCTCTAGTTAAGAAACCAATAAAATAAATATGTTTTGGAGAGACTGTCACAAGTTAGGAAATTAAAATGACCTGTTGTAGATATTTAATGGCTATTTTAGACAGTCACACTTTTGTAGATACAGTCCCTCTTCAGACATAAACAACTAAGGTCATATGTCCCTGTCCAATTTATTAGTTTAGTAGAGATCTTGAAAAACAATGTATTTTGGTTTGATAAGAACCACTGATATCTCCTCTTTTTTGGAGGGGGCTTTTATTTACCCATAACATTTTGAGTTGTATCAAACAAAACAAACATTTCCATGTAATTGGTAATCCATTGAGGGTTATTATTTATCTAGTTAAGAGAATTCAACTAGATCAATCTTATTCTAAAGCTGTTTCTGTGGTGTGGGTTTTTTTCTCTCAAAAGATGGTTCTAAGCTGAAGTCTATTGCTGGATTCCTATTTATCATGCTGCAGGACATCCTTATTTGACCAATATATTGGGGGGGGTAGATACATATTTTTAATTTGCAGTGTTTAAAAAAATAAAGATCATATTTGCTATTCTTAAAGTGTCATTTAAATGCATGTATTGTCTATTGTTTGGGGGACAAAAATAGGGTGTGGTTTTTTGTTTCTTTTGTTGAAAAAACTAATGCATAAACACTGTTCCTCAAAAATCTTGCTGGTTAAAAATACAGTATTTTTGGCCATAACTTTGTACTATAGTATCTTTGTCCCTTGACATTTAACTTTTCTGAAATATATTTGGGCTTCTTGTACTCCCAAAATGTTTCTTATGATAAATATTGTATAGATGTATTATTCCAGTGATTACTTTTTTAATTATACATGCTCTGTCCTCATTGTCCATATATTAACATTTCCTGAATATCATTATTACAGCCAGA